AGGGTCCTGTGGGGCCTTCCTGGGACAGACCTCCCCCGCACCAGCCCCAACCCATGTCCTCCACCTGCCTCTTGTTCGTAGCAAAGCTTTCATCTCCCAGGCCTCCCCTGAGACTCAGAAGGCTGGCTTAAGAGTTAATGGTTAGGAAACATGAAGATGTAAAAACAAAGACTAGCTGTTGTGCTGGGAAACTGGTAGGAGTTTAGATGACGGGCCAGCCACAGAGCAGAGGCACAGAACTCCCGGTTCCCTGAACACACAGATAAAGGTGTGACACACGTTCCTAAATTCTTTTTACAGGAAGCCGACCCCTGCCAGATGAAGACTGCTGAATCAAGCAGATGTACCTTTCCGACAAACACTTGTCCCCCTAGTATTGGCCTTTTGAGTGGTGAGCAGCGGAACTTGGGTTCAGTACTGGCCTCATCCTCTTACGTAACCACGTGAGTGGTCTTTGTGTCTGTGTGTCTCTGTGTTACTGACAAGAACTGGCACTGACCGGGGCTTCCCCTGGGTCAGGCCCTATGCCGGCACTCCACATGCATCACCTCATGGGATCCTCGTACAACGCCATGGGGTAGGTTTTATTGTCCCCATTTCACAGAGGTTGAGACTGAGGCTCAGGGAGGTTAAGTGACAAGTGTAGGGTTCAGAACAGACCTCCCCAAGATGTGCTACTTTGGCATGTGGGTTATTTTGAGCTAAAGGCAGTAGAGACCCTGTGGGCTCGAGAGAAACTACTGCTCCTCCCTTAACTAACTACAGGAATTTAAATTGGGGATTTTTCCCAGAGAAAGAGTTATTCCCAGAGGTAAATTTTATCTAAGTGGCACCATCTATATGGCAGGGCAAACACCTAGTTACCAAACATCGGCTCATCTTCTTGTGCAACCGCACCTCATAGAGTTAATGAGAGCTGATGGCTAGCTAAGAGGAATTCTTGAGCTTGTCTTTCAGAGCAACAGACAGGGGAACAGCTTGTAAAAACCCCTCTGCTTGTAAGCTGCCTTCACTGACTAAGCTTGCTTTAGTTATTTTTTCTGTCTTTCCCTTTTTTCCTCTTTAATTGCATACCTTCCCAGCTTCACATAACCCGACTGTCTTACAGGAACTTGGAGCCAGTTCTTGTCCAGTGCAAGCCAGCTGAGGCTGGTTGGGACCACCAACCCTAAAACTGGGTCTACAGAGGTGTATGATGAATGGCCTTTTGACGTCAGAGGACTGGAAAACTTTACCCCCAGATCACGCTAAGTGCCTGTATACTTGAATATGCAGAAGCATGTAACCCAGATACACCTGTGCAGAACACCAGTTACCTCACGTTTTTCCTGCCTCCAATCACCTTTCCCCATGCCAAGCCCACCTGCTTGTTCCATAGCTATCCCAACCCCCTCGCCTTGGGGGAGGCGGATCTGAGGCTTTTTCTCCCGTCTCCTCAATTGTCTTCCTGTGAACAAACGCTTCCTCTGCCGCAAATCTTGGCATCTCAGAGTTTGGTTTGCTGTGTGTTGGGTAAACAGACCTGCTTTGGTAACACTTATCGTCCTGTGAATGAGCCTCCTGCCCTTGGAAGCCCCAGGCCCCTATCCTACTCCTTAGCTCAGGATGGCGTAAGTACCTCATTTTACCTTTCTGTCTCTGACACTCTCATGTATGTGAGACTCCCATACGTACGAAATTAGATTTCCTCCTGTTCATCTGCCTTGTTTCAATTTAATTCTTAAACAAGCCAGAAGAACCTAGAAGCGTAGAGGAAAGTTTTCTTCCTTCCCAGCACCAGCTAAAAGTTACACAACTTGTAGGTGAAAGAGTGGGATTTGAACCCAGACCAGGTGGGAGTTGGGGGTAGGAGGGTGGGTGGAGGAGGAGGCAGGGAAGTGTGTTTTGTTTTTGGTTTTTTGCCTTTCTCCTCCAGCTGAATGAGGTTCTCCTGCTCTACGAGTCTGGGTAGAAATGCTAGTGTGTCACAAGCAGGATACAGGTGGGGAAGTATATTGCTCCCCTTAGCCCTCAACTGGGCCTTGGGTAACTGGAGCATCCAGGCTGGTGGCCCCTGGAGGACCCTGTTGGGGACCCCCAAGGGGTACAGCCACAGGTGGAGAGTAGGATGAGAGAGACCCAGCAAATGAGGCCAGGAGTCCAGGAGGAGTGTGGCTCCAAAAGGCTGTCTGGAATCTCTGTCTTCCATCTATAGTGGACACGGCTCCCTGTTTGTAGCCGATGTGCCCTTTTCGTGGTGCCCAAATTGGCTTCAGGTGTCTGCTCTAACCACATATACACTCTGCAAAATACGTGGAAAAAAACAGCTTGATTGGATTCTAAACCCATTATTCTCATTATCACTAGAATTTTGATTACAGTTATTTTTTAATTAATTAATTAATTACTTTTTGGCTGCATTGGGTCTTTGTTGCTGCGTGCCGGCTTTCTTTTTAGTTGCGGCGAGCGGGGGCTACTCTTCGTTGTGGTGCGTAGGCCTCTCATTAAGATGGCTTCTCTTGTTGCAGAGCACGGGCTCTAGGCGCCTGGGCTTCAGTAGTTGTGGCATGAGGGCTCAGTAGTTGTGGCTCGTGGGCTCTAGAGCACAGGCTCAGTAGTGGCACACGGGCTTAGTTGCTCCGCGGCATGTGGGATCTTCCTGGACCAGGGCTCGAACCGATTCTTGACCACGGTGCCACCAAGGAAGTCCCTATAATGATGTCTATACCCATCTCTGTCCCTCTAGTAGACAGTGAGCTCCTTGATGGTGGGGCATATCATCTGTGTATCCTCTCTTCCCTACTCCCTGGCATAGTGCTTTCTATGCAGTAGGCACCTATAAGTGCTCAGTATAAGAAAGCAAGAGTATAGATTGCATTCAGTGGCTTTTCACTGGTCCAGATGCTGCTTCCTTGCAGCCCAAGGTAGGGACCCTGAGCCTCCTTTCCCTGGGCTGGAGTTCACCCCTGCTGACTGGACCATGTCCAAGGTCTCCCTCCTCCCTTCCCCCACTTCCCCCAATCCCTGCTAACACTTTGCCTAAATCTTTCCCCACCCCAGTACTATTTCAGACATTGACATGGCCTGACCACAGCAGGATGGGAGGGGAAATGCTGAGCTGCAGGGATTGTCCATCCTACAAGGTCCCTTGGCAAGCACCCAGGAGAACAGAGATTGCCCGATATGGAGGGGGTTGGGCTCCAGGAGGGCATCCAGGGGCCCCTGTGCTGCCCCCATGCCCTGAGGACCAGAAAAGCGTGGGGTGAACCCAAGTCTGTGCATGTCTGTGGCCACCAAGCACAATAACAGGGTGTGTGTGTGTGTGTGTGTGTGTGTGTGTGTGTGTGTGTGTGTGTGTGTGTGTGTGTGTGTGTGTGTGTGTGTGTGTGTGTGTGTGTCTGGTGAGTGAGTCATCAGGGAGGGGCAGAGACCCAGAGGAGCTCACAGGCTAGATCTCCCCCAACGCTTCCGGTTTGGGCTGCTAGAGCTTGAGTGGCAGTTCTTCCAGCAAGATTTAACCCTGGTGTTTCAAGGGTCTTCATCCCTGAGTCAGACCCCACACCCACACTTGGCCCAGAGGTTCTTTTTTTTTTTTTTTTTTTTTTTTTTTTTTTTGCGGTACGCGGGCCTCTCACTGTTGTGGCCTCTCCCGTTGCGGAGCACAGGCTCCGGACGCGCAGGCTCAGCGGCCATGGCCCACTGGCCCAGCTTCTCCGCGGCATGTGGGATCCTTCTGGACCGGGGCACGAACCTGTGTCCCTTGCATCGGCAGGCGGACTCTCAACCACTGCGCCACCAGGGAAGCCCGGCCCAGAGATTCTTAAACACTGGCATCTGCAGAGCCACCTGGGGTTCCTGTTCAGTGTGGAGATGTCTAGGGCTGCCTAGATACCTAATTTGTACCCTGATTTGCAGATCTGGTCCATACACTGTATCCCTGGGGAAATCCTTACCAGGATGCCAGCTTCTTGCTGAGGGCAGTGGGTAGACACCCCTCGAATGCCTGGTGAACGAGGCAGCCTTAGAAAGAGAGGCTAAGCTCAGGGGTCAGGCTGCAGGTGGTGGGGAGGGTGGGGAGTAGAGGGGTGAGGGAGGAAGCATGTGCTAGCTGGAGGTGAGCAGAAGGCTGGGCTGAAAACGCAACAGCATCTTAAAGGGCTGCTCAGCCTTAGTGGGCTAGGAGTAGAATTGCTGGGACTTGGGAAGATGGGAGCTGGAAGGGTCAGCCCCCTTGACATTCAAAAACAGAAAAATCCCCTTGCCAGGAATATATAAAACTATTCGTCAGCAGTAGTCAGCAAGAGGCACTAATTAGTACTTTTAAGAGGAACTCAGCAAGCGGGGCTTGCTGAGCTCGCTCAGAGAATCTTGCTGGAGGCTGCAGGAAACCCAACCAGAGCACTGAAAACAAATACACACACCAACAGTCTAGAGGGGAGACTAACGTAGTAGCTCAGAGCAGACTCTAGAGCCGACGTCCTGGGATAAAGTTCCAGCTCTTACATGGGTTACCTCAGGCAGCTTAACCTTTTATGCCTCAGTTTTCTCCTCAAAAAAATGGGACTAATAATCATCCTACTTCATTAGATTATCGTAAAGATTAAATGAATTATATATAGAATAGAATAATGACTGGCACATACTAAGCACCATACAAGCATGTGCTATTGTCGTTATTATTATTTTAAATGTAGAATCTGGACATCTAGGACCCAGAACCCATGGCAGATCTATTTAGACTCTTGCTACTCAACATTTGGTTCGCTGACCAGAAGCATCAGTATCACCTGGGAGCTTGTTAGAAATGCAGTCTTAGCCCCAGTCCTGGATAGACTGAATCAGAAGCTGCATTTAACAAGAGCCCAGGTGAACAGCGAGCACACTGAAGCTCGTGAAGCGCAGCTTTAGAGCACACAGGGGGCCACACCCAGAAACTCGGCCAGAGATTGGGCTATTTTGGGGAAGGAGGCCAAGAGGGGTTAGGTTGCCCTGCCTTGGGCTCCCCATAGCCTGGAAAGCCCTCAGACCCTTGTCAGAGCGGGCACTTTACGTGGGGACGCGGCCAGGGTCCTTACACGTCGGTGTGCTGGGGCGGCCTGGTGCCTGGGGCCACCCCCCCGGAGTCCAGGAGATGCTGTGAGGTCAAGTGGTGGTTTGCTGGAGTACCAGGTGCTCAGGAGGTGGTCCACCTGCTCCTGACTGGAGACTGCACGCGGGTGGGCTTTCCCGCTTCCACCGTCCAGGCCCTCGCGGGGCTCAGCATCTCAGGGGTCTCCGGACCCCTGCCCGCGGAGTCCCGGGGCAGCCCCCACGCCCGCATCTCGCTCTGCATGCTGGCGAAGAAGTGCAGCCCACAGCGGTGTGCGAAGTCCCGCGCGTGCTCACAGCATGTCTCGTTGAAGAGCTTCTGCTCCAGGTCCACGTAGTTGCTCCAGTATCTGCGCTGCATGAGGACTGTCTGGTCGAAGCAGGGCCTCAAACAGTGGGCCAGGAAGGCCACGACGATCAGCAGCAGGGTGATACCCCAGCCGATGGCCTGGAGGGTGGGGAGCGCGAGGTTGAGTGTGGCGGGACACAGATATTGTACAATGTGGCAAGGATGTTCCAAAGTCTCTCCCTTTGTTTATCCCTTGCATCCTTTTTCAAATCTATCCATCTTCCCACTAAGTCATCCATCCTACCAACCACCTCCATCTGTCCTTCCTCCCATTTATTCTTTCATCCTTGCATCCATTTTCTATCCAACGATCTCTCCACCCATCTAGGCATCCATCCTCTTATCTGACTGTATATCTATTGTCTTTCTATCCAGCTATCCTCTCAACCATGCTTCCATCTGTCCATCATCCTCCTTCCTAACCAGCCATCTAGTCTCCCATCCATTCATGTTCCCATACTCTCATCCTTCCTTCCTTTTATCTATCCAACCATCCATCCACCTGCCATTCATCCCTCCAACTTTCCTCCTGAAGGGAACAAGAATATGTCACCCCAAAATATGCCTCTTTGACATAAAAATTATTTTGAGCTGAAGACAATTAAGAAGGAGCAACCTCCCCTTCTGCCTGAAGGCAGGATGTAAATTCCCCTTTTGCTGGAGACAGACTCTCATCAGCCCAGAGACAGCAGCAGAGGAATCCGCAAACAAACCTTACTCCATTAGTTTCCTCCCATGTATTTATTTACCTTCCCACAGTTTCCACCCTTGGAAGCATAAAGCTGCTTTCCCTCGTGCTGACATTTCTCTGCAATGGTATTGCTCATGGCTGAAGATGCTATATAAGCATACTTCTAAGCCACCGCTTTGAGTGACCCTTTCTTCTTCTTTTTTTCTTTTTTTTGAGTTACTCTTTGTTTTAGGTTTCTCCTGCATGATGATCACTGCACACAATAATAAACTGTTTGTTTTCCTCCTGTTAATCTGTCTTTTTGTTAGTCTCAGCTGAAAACCTAAGGTGGGTGGAGGTCAAGTTTTGCCTCCTTTGCACTCCCATCCATTCATCCGTCCCTCCACCCATCATCTTTCATCTTTTTATTCAGTTCTTCATCCGTGCTTATATATGTGTATCCATCCCATCTATGCATCCATCCATCCTATATTTTGGGGAAGACACTGAGGACTCAGTCTTTGCTCTCACAGAGCTCACACTTTAGTGGAAGATACAATGAAATAGGTGATGAATGGCTAAGCACCATGTTGAGGGATGTATCGGGGGTTGTGGGAAATCAGAGGGGCGATACCCAACCTGAACTTGAGGGCTCAGATGACAGTGCGGTTGAGGCTGAGACCTGAAGGATGGCAATAGTTTACAGGATGTGAACAGGGAATACTGTTCCAGGCCAAGTGTGAGGAGAAGCTGGAAGCAGTTCTCTGAGGCTGGAGACCCCACCTGGCCAGCCCCTCGCCCTCCCCTCTGCCCAGCCAAAGGTATTGAGACATTGCTGAAGACCCGAGCAACCGTGTGGACCTGGAGCAGAGATATCACTCCTCTAAACCACAAAGACATGTTTGAATCCTTATCATTTGCAGATGTGATCGACAAAACTCTCTCATTTGGCCTCTTACAAGGTCCTCCCTCCCCCCACTCCAAATTTAAAATACTTGTGTGAGTATTTTACCTGGAGGGGCATTTAGTGTGACTGATCATTTACAGCTGAGTCAGGACTTGAACCCTGGTCTGACTGAGAATTCTACACTCTTTCCAGGGAACTAGTGAGAGCCTACAGTGTTTACATCCATAGGAGACATCAAGGTGAGGAGACCAGACCTCCATTTACTTGGCAGGAGAAACTGAGGCCCAGAGCGGGAGGGACATGGCCAAGGTCACAGTCTGAAGCAGAACCAAGTGTATCCTGAGCACTGGTCCTCTCTCTGCCACTCCACGGGCCTGCATCTGCCACAAGCCTGTCCTGGCACCCCAAAGTGCTGGGTTGTAGCTCCAGTGATGTTCTGCATGTGGTGGGTTCATGTAAACACTTTTGGGGGGGACACAGCCCAGGCTGGGCTCTCGGAGTGGTGGAGGTGGAATCTGGAGCCTGGGCTGGGGATGGGGCTGGGGTTTGTCCCCAGGATAATGGATTCTGTGCCCTGTGGGGAGCCGGACATCTGGGGAGCCTGCATTGTAGGGAGGTGGATGAGAGGGTTTGGAGGAATGGCACTTCAGATCCCTGCCCGGCCTCTTACAAACTGTGACTTTGGCCTTGTGAACTAAACTCTCAGAGCCTCAGTTTCCTCATCTGCAAAATGGGATGGTCATGATTGCATCCACCTCATAGGACTGTCTTGAGAATTGAATGAAGTAACGCATATGAAATGTTTAACACAGTGCCTGACACATATGTGCTTAATAAATGGTAATTAGTATCATATTTCTGAGGGGTGAGCAGAGTGTGTGTATGGGGTGGTGGCAGGGTAGAGCAGTCTATCTCCAGTGTTTTCCTGCCATCCAACTTGGGGATGAGTCTAGTGGGCTCCCGGAGGGTACGAGCACCTGGCATCCACCCTGGGGTGAGTCAGCGTTGATGGCGGAGTCCCCACTTCCTAAGGCCCAACACTGTCCTGTGTGTGAGTAACACTCCTGATCCCCCCAGGGACCACATGCTCCATGGTTGTGCCTGCAGCATTGGGAGGGGCCTCAGGAAACCATTTGTACCTCCAGGCCCCTCGGAACCGATGCAGGACATTTCCTAGGGCTGGGAGAGGACCACCCGAATTACCTGTGACAGGCACTGCAGGTAGCGAGACACTGCCTTCCGAGCGGGCCTGTCCCTGACCAGCTCATCTTCCTTGCAGGGCACCTTGGCCAGAAAGAGCTGCACCTGGCTGGGGGTCATGCTGGCAAAGTCTAGAAACTTGTCGGGGTCCACGGAGCTGCTGAAGACGCACACGAAGCAGCTCCCATCGAGGAGAGCCAGCAGGATCCAGACAAGGGGGCGGCCGGTGCTCTCTACAGCACAGAGGAGAACATATACCTGGGAGCAGAGGAAGGAAGGGGGCGCAAAGGGCAGCCGGAATTCAGCTGCAGCAGGAAGGCTACAGGGGAGATGCAGGGATGGACTTCCCAGGAGGAGGGATATCCCAGGTGTGATTATACCAAAGGAAGGGCTACGGGTCCGAGCAGCAGAGGATAGGGAAGAAGCAGGGCTGAGGGTCCCGGGAGTCTCAGGACTGGAACACGGGGGAGCTGGTATTCTTCCTGCTCTAGCTTTGTAGCAGACTCTGTTGGTGCCCTGTCCCGGCCAGAAGCATCTAGAGCTTTGGTGGGTAGTTCCTATTCATATGGAGGGCCTGAGAGCTTCTGACCTCAACCACTTGCATGGCTCTGCCTGGGACTTTGGAAGAGTTTCTGCTCCCAGAGGTGCAGGCTGGAAGTGCTGGAGGGTCATGTTCCCAAATCAACCTTCAATCCAAGAGGGCAGGGCCTGGTGGATAAGAACCCCAGCTTCCAGGATCCTCGGTGGGACGATTCTGAGGTGTGTTCTATCCACTTTCTTAGAGGGTCCCCAGAAGGACTGAGCCCAAGTTGCCTACATATTATCACATTCTTCCCAGAGGCTGCTTTTGGGAGGACCCTAAACTAAGAGGGTCCCGTGGAATAACCCTCCCAGAGACAGCACCTTAAACACCTCTCCGCAGTGTCCGGGAGCCACCCTCTGACTGTCCCCAGGTGCCGCTTTTGACCCGCTCTGCCCGTCTAGTGGCCTGGATTGGGTGTTGGTCACAGGACAGGAGCCCAGTGGAGCTATACCCACTAGACCCCAGAGGAAAAGGTAAAGGGCACACTTAGTGAATGTGACCCTCCCTGCGTGGCTGAATCACAGGGAGCTTGGAACCGCTGGGGAACATGAAACAGGCCGCTTGTGCACAGAATGCAGAGGTTTTTAACTTGGGTTGTACACAAAACATAAGATGGTGTGTGCTGGCTGGGTGTGTGTGTGTGCATGGCCAACAAATTATAAATATGTTGTAGGCAGGGGCGGATCCAGCATTTTCTATGGGGGCAATGTGGTTAGAAGGTGGAACCCAGGACTTGTTATGAAGTTACATTACATACCCTTGAGAACACCTCAGTTGTCCACATCAAAGAATAGGGGAGCGGAGGAGATCGTGAGTGAGCTAAAACCCACCAAGCCCCTCCTGCCACTGCCCATGGATCTAGAGCACTTATTTTGTCTAAAACAGGGCAGCAGTTCTGGCTTGGGCTGTGTTTGAATCTGAGCCTCTTCTTTGCTGTGGGAGCTCAGCCTAGTGAATCACCCTCTCTGTGCCTCAAGTCCCCCATCCTTAAAAATGGGTCCAAGACGGGAGCCAACCCAGGGCCGAGGTGAGAATTCATAGGCGGTGCACACACAGCATTGGGCACAGAGCTTGGCTCCCAGTGGGCCAGGGAGCATTATGAATCGCTAAACTCAATCAGCTGATCAGGGCACCGACCAGGTGCGAGGCTCTGAGGACACTGTGATACAGCAGGTGAGGTGCTTGCCCTCGGGGAGCTTGCAGGAGAGGGGATGCAGCCTTCAAGCCAATGATGCCTCTCGTACGGCAACACGGCTGTGCACGTCATGGGATGGTCCTTCATGCATGTGGGGAGTTATAATCCATGGCCAGCATGACAGATGTGACCTGGATAATTCTTGGGAATCCTGTATCATTCATGCGTCTCCAGCACTGGGCATGGAAAGGTGACAGATGACAGGATCAGAAATATCTGTTTCCAGAGTAGAAACTGGCAGATCGGTCTCTGTGAACTGATATGTCTTGGTATCATTTCCTAGGGGAAATGAGGATGCCTATGGGGGTGGGTGGGGGAGTTCTGACAATACCCACGGGGGTCACTGGGATTTTGGCACCTGGCAGTGCCTGTGTGGTTGGGAGAGCCCCTGACAATGCCCACGGGGACCTGGGTGGCGAGGGACCGCACCTGCCGATGCCTGGGTCCTTCCTTCGGTGCCCCGCAGGCCGGCGCCTCTCCTCCACCATCACCACGGGCTGCCAGTTGGCCAGGAGGCTGCAGAGGAAAAGGGCGGCTGGGGGCGTGAGCAGCTGGCCCAGGCCATAGAGGGCATTGTAGCGCGCCAGGCAGGGGCAGTTGAAGTCGAAGGAGGAGCACAGCTTGACTGTGACCGCGGCCAGCAGCAGGCAGATGCCGTTCATCACCGACTCAGAGCTGGACTGGAAGTGCTGGAGGAGCGCGCGGAATTTATCCGTGGCCGGGCCTGGGTAGAGGGCAGCTGCGGGTGGCGGGCAGGGAGGTTTCAGCTGCCTTCCTGGTCAATGCCAGCCCCGCTGGGGGCGAGCCCGGGGCTGCGGGAGGTTCTTCCTCGTCTTCCAAGGGCCTGAGGGGACAAGGAGGAGGCGGGGTCTAGCCAAGGAGTGTAGGGCAGAGCAGGCTCTCTCCACCAAGGCCCCCTGGCCAGCCCGACTGCCCCCCACTGCTACTCCCCTCCTCTCTGGGGGGATGAGTCACTGCTCTGTGACCAGCCAGCCCAAAGCACCTCTAGGCAGATGGTCCCCGCCCTGTTCCTCCATCCCTTCCCTCTTCAGGATTGTGATACCGATGCCTGACAGCTGCTGGGGCTTCCCGTGGGGGGACAGGCAAATTCTGGGTGTGGTAAGACCACGGCGCTGATGGAGCCAATTACATTTTCTTGTCTTGGTTAAAAACATGACTTGGGGCTTCCCTGGTGGTGCAGTGGTTGAGTGGTTGAGAGTCTGCCTGCCAATGCAGGGGACACGGGTTCGTGTCCCAGTCCAGGAAGTGGGCCCGTGAGCCATGGCCACTGAGCCTGCACGTCCGGAGCCTGTGCTCCGCAACGGGAGAGGCCACAACAGTGAGAGGCCCGCGTACCGCAAAAAAAACCACCAAAAAACAAAAAACCCATGACTTGACTCAGCTGAGCCCAGGGAGATTTCACGTTGGCTTTCATGCTGGGAGGAACCACCAGGGGCGCCTTACCCTGCCCGAAGCCTTCCCGGAAGTCTCTTGAGGAGAGTTTAAACCATGTTTCAGTGTTTGCCAGGGTCGTGGAACGCAAGGGCTTCCAGACAGAGAGTACCGTCTGGACAAGGGCATGGAGGTGAGAAGCAGCCAGGTGTGGGTAGGCAGTTTGGGGTTGCTTGAATGTAGTGTCAGACAGGGGGTGTCGGGAGAGGGCACAGGGGGTGCTCATGGGTGCCTGCACCCCTTTCCTCCACTTTATTCTGCTGCCCTTCAGCTCTGGCCACCGACTGGCCCAGGTCTCCCTAAAGCGCAGCTCCCACTACATCACTCTTGCGCTCAGGTGTGACCAGGGCCCCCTCAGCTTCCTTAGCCTGGCGTTCAAGGCCCTCCTAGCCATACCCAGACATGTCCTCCCATCTCCATGCCTCTGCTGACGCATCCTCCCCGCTGGAGAACCCGTGCCGCTTCCTCCCACCTGCTCTTCAAGAGGCAACTCAGATGCAGCTCTTTCACCGAGATGCCCCTGGTGACCTCAGCTCTGTGGGAACCTCTCCTCCCGCTTGGCCCTTGGAAAGGCCGCCCCAGCCTGCTTCTCCTCTCGCCCAGGTGTGGAGCTGGATCTCCCAGCTAGGACGGGCCCTGCACCCACAGCTGCCCGTCCCTGCAGCCCCCAGCAGGGTACCAGGCAGACGGCACGGGTGGTAGATGTTTGTTCCCTGTGACGTTGACACTCAGACCCCCTTTTTGCATCTCTAGCTCTGTCCTCTCTGCCCACTCCTTGACCTGTACCTGCCTCCCTGTCTGCTCCTAGGAGGTGAATGGAATGTAGGTCCTGCTCTTATCTTTGTCTCTTTCTTATCCTGTCCCTCTTTCCATCTCTAACTCTACCTTTCTCTGTGTGTGTGACCCCCTGTGTCCTTCATTGTGTGTTTCTGAGTCTTTCTGTGTGTCCCTCTGTCTCTGTCCCTCTCTCTGTGCTGTGGCCTCTTCCTGTCTATCTTTCCCTCCTCTCACCTGCGGCCCGCCCTGTAGCACCCTTGTCTTACTGGCCCCCGGTCCTGACACTGGCAGCCTGACGTGGGGAGAGGAGTGGAAGCAGCCACAGGAGCCCAGGCTCCGTTCCTGGGTCACAGATCCATGGGCTTGGCCTGGAGCCTGGGCTGGGGGTGGGTGAGGCTCAGGTTCCTCCTCAATCTCCATCCCTCTGGCTCCCTCACTCCTAGCCCAGCGCTACCCTTGAACAAAGGAAAACCTCAGGGACTGGGATGGCCTTGACCCTACTGGCCCCTGCCCTGCTCCGTCCAGCCTGGGCCAGTGGGCATGTGGGACTCCCAGGGATGCCATCAGCAATTCCTCAGACCCCGGGTCCTCACAGTCATGAGTGCCACTCCCCACCCCCATCCCTCTGGAGCATGTGAGGTAAGCATCCTTCTGAATTCTTTCCGGCTCAGGGGCCCAGCAATGCCCTCCGGTCTCCACGGAGCCTGCCTTGACTGCAGCGGCTGCACTGACCACCCCTCTTCCCGTACGCTCAAACTTTTAGAAAATGGAAATGTCGGCATCTTTTTTTTCTGATTAAACACACCATTACGAAACATTAAAAAATATCTAATATAAAAGTATATTATATAAAATATACTAGATAAAATATCTAATATAAAATATATATTATATATGTAATATTATATATTATATATATTATATTAATATATATATAATATATTAGATAAAATATCTAATATAAAAATATATATTGACTGCAACCCCCCAAGTCTCCCTGTCACTGCATCAGTGTGTGTCCTTCCAGACTTGTTGCTGCCCACACGGGCACGTGCTGGCTGGCCCGCCTGGGAATCCTCGGGAGACAGCCAGGGACGCTGTGAGCGAAGCACTGGGTGCCCTGCTCGCCCAGGAGCCCTGGGGTTGCTGGGGGAGAGGCAGCTCAGGCTGCCTCTGGGACTCCCATCTGAGGCCAGTCTCTCTCTTCTCTTAACCTTCATGACACAGGGCTCACTGTGTTTCCGTTTCTCTGAGAGATGACAGCCCAGCAGCTTGAGGGACCCGTGGGATCTGCAAATGAATTTTGTGTAGATCATTTAGCCTGTATTTTAAGTCAGACCATCCCCAATATGTCCTGCAAATGTCCTAAGTATCTGTGCAGTCTCCACTTCCGATGAGGTAGCGACAGACGGAAACCCGGGTCTTATATCTTATTTAAATCTTACCCAGTCCGTGTGCTAGTCCAGGTCCTGTGAAACAGGATGACCTGTGTGAGGGAAAGTGGGGAGGGAGTGGGAGAGGGCGGGAGCGCCGTCAGAGGCAGCGAGTGTGGCTCTGCGGGGAGGAGAGGCGGGGGCATAATGGAGAAGCCCTTCAAGCTGCTCCCTGTCCTGGGCTCCTAGCTAGCAGAGAACCACCAGCACCAGCACAGCCCTGGCGCGGGTCCTGGAGAGGCAGGCCGTTTGTCCGAGAGGTCACGCAGCCTGGTGGGGACAGGCCCAGGAAGGATGTGCTCCTCCTCTGTGCCTTCCAGCCCTAGTCACCCTCTGGGCTGCTGCCAGGAAACGGAGCTGTCCCGCGCAAGACCCTGCTTCTCAACCCTGAACCCCAGCGCTGGGCCCCCCACCGAGCATGGAGGGGCGAGAAATGGGCTGGGAGGGTCTGAGCACCACTGTCTCCCATTCTACTCTCAGGGAGGGGAGGGTGGCCAAAGGGCCCCCAGCTGCTTCTAACCTAGGGATTTTTCCGGAAGAGAATGGACAGTGTTTCTGAGGGAACACTGCAGGAAACTGGGACAAGGTCTCTCCCAGGCCAGCCTGTTCACAGCTCCAACCTCTGGGAGGCAAGATGGCCCTGCCAGGTCAGCCTGGGTCATGTGACTGCACTGGCCCTTGCTGGGTATTTACTGGAAAACATTCAAGCAAAGAAAAAGGCAAGAAGGAAGCCCACCACGTCTTAAAGGGCTATTACCTCTCGGGGTGAGCAGGTGGCTTTACATTAAACAAAAATTCTGTATTTTCTAAATTGCCTATTTTATAATAATGATTTTTAAAATTTCCCAGTAAAAATTATAAGTATTTTTACTGGAAAAACTCACAGGGATTAAGAGACAAGGCAAAAGGAAGGAAGATCGTCTTTTGTTGCCCAGAGGCCGGGCCTGATATACAAGGAGAGGCAGAAATCGAAGAAAAATAGGAGAGAAAGGTTTATGTTACTCATGTGTGTGGAAGGAATATTAACTTGTAGATCTGCTGCAGAATAATGCCTCAGATCAGATTTTCTCAACTCCCTACCCTACCTTGGGGCTCTGCAGCTGTGTTCTTCCAGATCTTTTCATTCGGGGAAAATTTTTAAAAATCAGATTTTCATTTTAATGCTGACTTAAATCTATTTAGCAGTTTTAAACACGTGTTAACTTGCAGTTGGAAGATCTTTATACAGCAAGTCTTTGGTTTCTTTTTTTCTCAACTTGGGGTCTTGGAGATATATTCTTGGGGGTCCTCCATATTTTTATTTCCTTCGAAAGGAATCTGGGTATTCGAGAGATACTGGCTTGACTGTTCTTGGAATTCCTGTGATGGAGAGGGCTCCTTAGGACAGGGTGCCCCCTACTGGAGGAGTCAGTGTGTCCGATGTGTGTGTGTGTGTGTGTGTGTGTGTATATGTGTGCGGTGAGTATGTGTGTGTGGTGAGTGTGTGTGTGGTGTGTAGCATGTGTGTCCTCAGAAATACAGGCGTGGCTGTGTTTCTTCTTTCTGTATAGAGAACACACTCTCCCCTGGGGTTTCTTCAGAAGGAAGACACTGGATGCGTGTCCCACTTCTCTCTCAGGACTGGGAGGCTATTGTTGCCTCGCATCTCAGAGCTGTGGGGCCCTCTCTGTCCCTGACAGACCTGCCTCTCTTCTACCAAATGACAGAGGCCTCTGTGGGATCCAGGGGACAGGCCTTTCTGGTCTTCTCTGGCAGACCTGGCTGAAAGCAACATGGCACTTCTGTGGGCTCCACTCTGGTGACTGTGTAGAGCCACATGGCCTCTGAGGGACTGAAAGGAGAATGAAAATAAAGGGGGGAACTCTGACACATGGCATTAGAACAACTGGCTAATCATTTGGGAAAATGTAGGTGAATTTCTTCACAATCAGAGACTAGGGAAGGCCTTTGTGATCAGAGCACAGAATTCAGTAGCTGTGAAGGAGAAGATGGATGAAGTGGGCCTCATAACTTCTGTGGGCAAAATGCCAATCAGCAAAGTGAAAATAACAAAAAACGGAAAAAAGGCATTTTCCAC